TATTGAAAAATATTATTATATTATATTATTTGAATAAAATGAGTGATATAAATATAATTCTTGAATTGATTTTTTCGATATTGTTTCCTCACTCACATATTTCTCGGGGGACAAGTTTCTCAAAAACTCATGAATAATAGCCGTCTTCGAGGTACCAATTTCCCCAACCAATAATACCGGTCTCTGTAGATTGCTCATGAGATTCACGAACCATGTGATACGCAGAGTGTCGATCGTTTGCACTAGGATATCCGAAAAGATTTTTTGTCTATCATGAAGATATGTTGGTACCAACCATTTCCACGCCATCCAAACTTTTCTCTTGATATCCAATATATAATCGTACATAGTTGGGAATGATACGGGTATATATCCTGGCGTAACACACATATGCACAAACATGCGCATTTATTTTGTAAATTCAAAGATAATACAAAAAAGATGCATGTACCAAAAACAAAGATTGAAATGTAATAATTAATTTATTATATTTTTTATCATATTTGTTATCTTTGTTTCGTAATTTTGATTAAACTTACTAATGGTTGCCAGCTTGGCAGATGTATCTTGGACTTGTATAAGTCCAGAAATCTTCTTCATGTATTCATCAAATTTGAGGCGCTCGTTATCTACAATAGACGCGCCGAATGACCAATAGCACGCTTGAATATACATCGCTTCCAGGAGTTCCTCTTTTGCCATCAGCGAACTGTCTTCTTCCTCTTGACTGATTTCCGTAGATTTTTTATTCGCCGATTCGTCTTTTAGCGACAACAAGCCATCAAACATGTAGCAGAGTTGAATTACCTTGAAAAACCGAAGCAAAAATACCATTTATACCATCCATATAGAATGAAAAAAATGGATATATATAATAAACAGTGAATTCTAAAACAAGTTTCATCTTTTCTTCGCTTTTTGCAAATCTAACAGAACAAATTCACTCATTGTGATTGCCCGCAAATACGGATTAATCAATAGTCGATTAGCGAGTCTAGTTACCATATTGAGGTCAGTTTGTGGTATGATCATCCGAAGCGGTTCGACCGCTTGAAGACCTAACATTCCTTGGATAATGAGTTTGAGTGAGCCGTGCACGTATTTCTCGCACATTCCGCGAAAAAAATCTTGGTCTGTTTTGCTCTTGGCTTCTATCCACTTGTCCATGTATGGTTGATAGCCTAAGTTCTTCGGATCAACGTAAACCATACCTGCTCTCGACACTGTCGCAGGTGAGGCGTATTGCAAGTCGCCTACCTTGAGCATAGAAAGCAAATAATTATCCAAATAAAAATGCTTAGATCATATAATTCTATTTTTAGATTTATTATATGTATTTAATAAAAATAATTAAAAATAAATAATTATATCTATAGTTACTTAGAAAAGAAATAGAAAACATAATTTTTTATTCTCGCAATAATTTATTTCAAAATTAACTTAATATTAAATTACGATTAAAAATCACACTATTGTTTTTATATAAAAATTTTCATATAAAAATAATCGTAAAAATAATTATGCATATAATAATTGTGCATGCTATCAGATAAATTTTTTCAAACTTAAAATTATCTTACAACATAGTCGATATCTGCGTTAAGTTACCTCGAAGAGCAGACTGCAATGATCCTGCATTTTGATCCTCTCTTGATTAGCCAGAGTCAGCAACTTGTTGTCATCCATAACCGAGTTCATGTTTTCGACCCATAATGCATCGACGTCGCCGTCGAAAAATATGTATTTGCGTTCGTCCTTGCCGGAATCTAAAGGTCGGTTGATTTCACGAAAGATGCTGCTCAAGAGGCCGTCCGTCCAATCACGCGTCGTAGACTCCAACATTCCATACAATTCAATGACGGTGCAAGCCTTGATCAATTTGTAAAACATGATGATTTAAAAAACAATACAAATTGATTATATATATTATCATTACAATTAATTGTCACTTACCTTGGGATTCAGAATATACAGTTTCGTAGGTTTACCGAGATGCGTCTGTGCCCTGCATAGTGTTTCGATTATTACCGTTTTACCACCGCCGGTAGGGCCGATAAGCATCGTCGAATGTCTGGTCATCATCACTTCGTATAATTGAATGACTTTATCAACCTAATTGCGATTATTAGTTTAATTTATTAATTTAAAAAATTGCACTAAAAAATTGTATTTTCTCTATTGTGATAGTAAAATATATGCAAACATAAAAACATGGAAAATATCATTTACCTGGTCTGGTAAGACGATGTATCCGTGCTCTTGCAGTACTGTCTCAACCGCCTCGTTAAAGTTCGGGTAATGCACTCTGGGACAATCCAAATCCGGAAAGAGATCCTTAATCAAACCCAAAAAGAGCTGCACGTCATCGTATACGAACTTAGGTAAATTCATGTCTCTGAGAGCTCTCATCAGCACGACGTTCTCGGGCAAGTCACTGGAAGTTCTTTTCAACTGGCCGGCCATGTTGAGGACGGATTTGAGGGCTCTCAAGCCGAAATCGTAATGCGTTTGTTTGCTCAGCTGTTTGCTCGCGAGCTTATAGAGAACCGTCATTTTCTTGGCGAGCTGCTTCGCCGTCAGAAAACCGGCGCTGAAAAGCTTGATTTGGCAGATCAATTCGTTGTCCGGCACTATGCAGACGACCGGTCTGAAGAGAGCCTTGACAGACTCCGGCAGCTCCGTACGACCAGCATATCCTGGATTCATGGTGATGAAAATTCCCACTTTCGAGTCCAGCACAATGTCTTGGCCTTCAAACTTTCGGAGAACATTGTATTTTATAATAGAAACGTAGTAGAAACGCAGAACAGAAATTTATATTTATATTTATATATATTGATATAATAAAAAATTAAGAAATTAATATAATTAAGTTGTAAATATATATTTAAAAGGCTGAGGATAAAATTAACGAATTTAAATAAAATTTTTGCGTAGGAAGTAAAAATGGAATTTTTGAAATAATCGCGAATTATATAACTTGATTATTTTCGAATAATATTAGAGCAACTACAGTGCTTCTTAGAACGGTTCTCTTTCTTAAAATTATTTTACTAATTTACAAACGACTTTTTTATAATTACGACTTAGGTCTGTATTATTCTCGGCACTTCACGCTTTCAATATCCATGTGAGTGTACCGTAAATCTTTGAGCTTTAACTTGTAGCGCCGAGCGTATAGTTTGCAACTGGGTCGAAATAACTGAGAGAACGGAGCTATCAATACGATTGAATTCGTCGAAGCAACCCCATGCCCCGCACTGAGCCAGACCACCTAGAGTCTTGCCGATCGCGATATAATCCATTCCTTCTCCGCAATTAGTAACAACACATAAGAGACCCAGAGCTTTCGCTAAATCCTTGACTGTCTCAGTCTTGCCGGTTCCAGCAGGACCTAAGAGTTAAAAATCAAGATACTTATTGGCACGAAACTATGTATTTAAAAAATGCATAAAATGCAATTCAAAAGTATTGAACTTGTGCTAAAATTTTTGAAAATTGTCCTATGCTTTATTTGCCCTTTTTTTATTTTTGTATTTGTTAACCATGATCCTAAATTTATTTTTTTCTATCTCGATAAATTTGGTTATGTTTAGAATAAATAAAAAGCTATTATATTTGGCTTATGCTCGAGAAATTCGCAATTGCGTGCGCTTCACGTACCCGCTGGAGCACCGCCTAAGTGCATCGAGAGAGCTTGCGTAATCGTGAGATATATCCTGTCTGTCAGAGGCGTAATGACCAATCTGCCATTTAGGCCCATGTACTCGTAACCGTATTCGAAAGTGCTTGTGCATTGGTTTATCCATAGATTATCCAGATCATGAACCCAGTAAAATCTGCACGTATAACAAAAATAATTATATTACAAAACCATCGCGTAAAAAATTATGTTTCGATCAAATATTTATTAATAAAGAATGTAACATGTATTTATATTAATCTTTAATAATCTTTATTTAAAATTTAATATATTCATATGATGAGCGGAGACTACAATTATTTTACTACAAAACGATAACTACCTTAATTGGCTTTCCCATTCAAATTCCGTGGGATTTATAATGCTGTCCCTAACAAAGATCTCGATAATGTCACGAATGTGCACGTCGATAGTTAAAACCATGTCAATCTTCTTTCTATCGTTGCTCGTAAGTATATCACTGCCCATCAGTGTCACCACTTCGTTTAATTGATCGTTGAGTTGTTGTAAATACTATATATAAAAAAGAAATATATTCTTTTGTTCAAACGTACAAAAATTTCACTTACAAATTTTTTATATTACCTCCTTCATAGCACGTTTATTCCCTTGGGATATCTTATCGAAAACATTTTCGACCTCTGCGGTCCACCATATCTGATTGGCCGTGAGAACCATCATTCCTTGAAACTCAAGTATCCATTTCGTTCTTGGTTTTCGTATCTGCGTTTATGATTATATAGTTATCGTTTTTATCATTAAAAAAAAATTGTAAGAATTATAACATAATTTATCAAGAAGTTTTAGGAGTTTTCAATTAGTGTTATCACACTTTCTCTATATAAATATAACTTTTTCCGTATAATACATTAAAGATTAACAGCAAAGAATATGATTGTATAATTATAAATATGTTTAACAAAATAATATTTTACTAAGAAAAAAACCTGTGCTAATAAATAAAAATAATGTGCAATAATTTAACATAAACCTTGCCGTAATTGTAGACCGCTTTCTTTGTCAAATATCGATTTGATCTCTTCATTTCCTCGAGAACAAGACCCATCCAGATTTCAATGGTATGCTCCGTAGCTACGGGATTCCTAAATTCCATAATTTCCCTCTCGCAAGATACAAGAGCCGTCACTATCAATCTGTCTGTGTTGTCAGGCACCAGTTTGAACTTATCGAGATTATCGAACATCTTTCCAACGTGCTCCTGGATGATAGTAGGGTTACTGCTACCGAGAATGCTCAGCAGTTCATCGTCGCTAATAAAGTTGAATCTCGGGAATATAACGCGTTTATTGCGCAGGTATTCCGTGAGGGACTTTTGGCATTTCTCGAGGGCCGCTATCATGGCTTCGAATTCATCTTTTCGGCCTAAACACAGTTATAGATACATATCAGTTTAGTACATAATCTATCTAATTTTTTAAAATTTATGTTAATTTTATATAATTAATTTGCGTGAACGTGCATAAATTTCATAAATACCATAAATCGTGCAGCATTCCAAGACATTGCGTCTCTTCGAGGTATCATTCATGATTTTCTTGAAGGCTTGATCAATGTCATCAAATCTTTTTGTTTCATCCGGTAGTTGAAGCCGGATGTCGCCGCCCACAAAGATGCCCTCAAGATATAACCACTTTCGCTGCAGTTCCACCCACACCTCCAGAACTTCGGAGATCGTATGCATCGTGCGTTCCCATTTCTGAACGACGTTGAGAAACGGTCCAATAAATTGCGAAGCCACCATGCTGTGCACGGTCAGCATGTTGTCCTCGAGTACCAGATTCAATTCGTCGAGAGATCCAAGAATAAAGCCACGATCTTCCGTACCTGATAAATGTAATCAACGATCGTACGACTTGGTGCGCTTTATATTTGTAGTTATAATAATATATAATTTATTTGTAATTATTAGGTGTACAACTTTGCTTCCGCCGTTTTCCTATAGATGGCTTTAGCGGTAAGTAGTGGTCGAAATAAATAGATCATAGACGTCATGCAATAAACTTGGGCATCTGTCAACATAACTCCATAGAAACATTAGTCGATTTGTGTCTGGATCATAAAGTTATTCTCGATTGAAAATGTCAGTTTACGAGCCAAATTCTCGTCATTTGCGGGAGGTTTTAATTTTCTGCTTCAATATGAAGAAATCTGCGGCTGAGACTCATCGAATGCTCTCAAATACTTATGGTGAGGCCGCTATTAGTGAAAGAACGTCTCGTGACTGGACAATACTTTGAATCATAAATGTATAACCAGTTTTTTACAATAAAGCCTCGAATCTCGGAAAAAACGGCGGAAACAAAGTTGTACACCTAATATATAAAATAATATATAATAATTGTGAACATAAAAAGTTTCTTTTCTAAATAACTGAAATACCTTTATAATGTTTCACGACGTTGAATTCCATAGACTTCCATACTTCCGCTAATTCTTTTACGCCTCTTTCTATCGCAAGCTCCTTCACGGCATGCATCACAATATCTTGGGCGATGTCTTGGTACTTTCCTAGCTCCATAGCGAACATATTTTCTAAGGTAAATCTGGAATAATCCGATAATTGTATTTGTATTTTTATATATTTAATTAACGTGACTTAAAAACCTTACCCATCTATCGTCAAACATTTTCGTTGCGTCATTTTTGTATTAAAAAATGTCTATATATTATTAATTATACTTTTAAAAATTAATTATCAAACTTATGCACCCGCGAATAAGTTTACACTGGTCATTAATAATCGATTATGTCACGAGGATCTATAAAAAAGCAAACACGTATCATCCAAGAAGTTATGAAATAATATATGCAATATATCAGTTCACATTTATCAGAAAAATTAGGCAGTTTCCTCGCAATACCTATTTTAAAAGAACATACATCTTTAAAAAATAGCATTAATTATATACATAAATATTTTAAAAAACGTAGATATAGAATACATACGGATATATACATACAAAATTCATAAATATTACAATAAATTGCACACATCACATTGTAATAAATACATAATACATACATATATTAAATAAATATTTAAATATAATAAAAAATACAAAAATGCACTCTCAATTATTAATCGCTACATATTTGCATATGTAAGTAATACAATAATCATTCATATTCGTAACTAATATTTTGTAATTAAGATCACACTCTATCAAGCTGTCCGTTTAAATCCACACTATAATTAAAGTACTCGCTTAATTATTCATCATTCGCACACCTGTACGGATCCATATCAAAATATTGTCCGGTTCTTCCCATCAGCTCTTGCCAGTGTCTCTCGCGCATTGCCTCGTTCTTTAGCTCGATGAAGAGCGGCACTGAGTTTTTGAAGTTTTTCATATTGGCGTCCAGGGCGCGACCGACGTTCATATCCCTGATGGATTTCGGCAGTCGTCGGAGTTCCCTCATGAAGTGTTCCATACCCTCGATAAGCTGCTGGGGATTCAAGTTCACCCAGAGAGTCTTCGCCCAGACCTCTCGCTCGTGTCTCTGTTGTTTGTAGAGATCATACAGCTTCTCCATGCTCTCGTAATCTGCCTTGATTTTCAGGAAAGCTGAGTAATCGGTAGGCGACAGATCGAACAGAGTTTCATACTTTATTAGGTTCAAGCGTCTTTCCTCGTATTTGTTGATCAGTTTGCCATATTCCTATAAATAAACGAAAAGAAAGTAAATGACTGGCAATTGTGACTTTGTTCTCATTAAAAGGATGTTATTTAATCATTTAAAAAATTTAGAAAAGACGAGAATTTCTAATGACAATACTTTTCAAAAGAGTAAATTGTATTTTTTTTTTAAACGTACATCCATTTTCTTCAGTCCAAGCTCCAGGTCATCCCCGGTGCTTCCGGGACCATGCGTCTCAAAATCTTTGGCGAATTTCACAGTTTCATCTAAGAACTGCCGGATTTCATCTTGGATTAATTCGGCAAATTTTTCGATGGTACTTTCCAGGGTCGAAGCCCTATAGAACGCTCCGAGATATAAGGATTCCCAATTGCGTTGTAACTCATACGCCATCGCTTCGTCCGACGGAGAGAACTCAATCGCATGAGTGCGCATTGTTTGAAAACATTCCTGATAAGACAGATATTGCACTTCAGCTTGTATCGCCATATTTCTTACGTCGGTGATCGCCTGCATGATCGACATGAAACGATCTAATCCGGTGACCACCAGCTCGATCTCGCCGCGAAAGATCACGATCTGAGTTTTCAACTGATTCATAGCCTGCACAGTGTCGGACAGAAGATAATTCCCTAAAACTTGTTTCCACTCCTTTGCTTGACCTTCGATGCTTGATAAGAGCGGTATCAAATTGAGCCTTTGAAAAGAAAAAAAGTCTAAATTAAAACAGAAATCTACGAAAGAAAAAATACATAATAATTTAAGAAACTACATTCAAGTACAAATTTAATTACACATTTTGAAAAAAAGAAGTATAAATCAAAATAATCCATTGTTTATCACAAAATAAATTTTTCAAAAAATTTTTAATAATAAATATATAAAAGGAGGAAAATGTTAAATGTAAAAGTTTTTGTGTATCGAAAGAACTATCTAACTGGTCAACTAGATTTTGGGCCCAGTAAGGCCCAAGTCGATTTTTTCAAGTAGGGACCCACATATTTTTTATCACGGATTTAGGTTCAGGACACGTTTTTACATCTGACTAGCCGACATTTGGGTTCGAGGCCTCATTGGGCCAAAGATCTGGTCTATCTTGCGATCCAAAATCTAATTTTGCTTTCTTTTAAGCAGAAAACCGTTCTAGACATCGACACGTGACGAAAAATAGGAATTTTTATTGAAAAACTTGATTTGGACCTCATTGGGTTTAAAAAGGGCCTCGGACCCAAATGTTTATCCGCTATATCAGATGTAAAAACGTGTCCTGAATCTAAATCCATGATAAAAAATATGGGTCTACTTACTTGAAAAAATTGACTTGGGCTTTAGTAGGCCCAAACTAGACTCCGAGTCCAAAATCTATTTGATCAGTCAGATAGCTCTTTTGATACCCAAAAACTTTTATGTTTAAGAATTTTAAGAAATTAAGGCTCTCGAGTGACATCACAAATTTCAAATATTCGCGGGCTAGTAAGAGCCAGACGCGGATGGTAGTGCGTCAGTTTCATAGAAAAATTTATCTTTTTATGAAACTGATTATGTGCACAGGGCCCGAAATTTACTTGGTCCTATACCAAGATTTTAAAATTAATTTCAATTCGAGATTTATAATAACCCCTCTTTACCCCCCTGAAGAGACGAAGCCGAGATATAGGACCAAGTAAATTTCGTGCCCTGTGCACATAATCAGTTTCATAGAAAAACTTATTTTTCTATGAAACTGACTACCGCGTCTGGCTCTTACTAGTCCGCGATTATTTAAAATTTGTGATAAAATTTCACATTTTTATAGAATAGCGATATAAATCGTTAATACCGCTTTACCGTACACTGCTTATGTCGAAATAGAACGACATATCTTCGACTTCCTCCAGAATGCCTTCGTAAAACGTGAATTTTTCGTCGTATTGTATAAGCGTGGGTTTCGTCGCCGCGAATTTCTCACAAGCGAGATTCTTATCAAACGACCATAAATTACTGTATTTCTTCCATCTATACAAATATCGCCAGCATTCCACCGAGATTCTGTACACCGTGTCCTGAACTACTTTTATGAGTTCATTAATTATCTGTGAATATTTAGAATACGTTTTAAATTAAAACAAAAATAAACACTATATTATACTTATATGTAATTATTTATTTAAACGTTTACTCTCCTATATTAATATAAAGCATATTTATAGCATTCAAGCTCATAAACTTTACTCAACTCGGACACTCATTACATCTTCGAAGAAACTAAAAAGAACAAAATTCTCCGAAAGTTCTTTTCTTTGTGGTTTACACTCCAAACAAGTTCCATTCATCCATCTCGGGAATCCTTTTAATCTTTCCAGTAGATCTCGCACGTCTTGACAAATGATGTTGTAGATCTCTCCGGGTGACGGGCGTAATACTACTTCGGATGCTATTAATATCGCCTCTACTTGGAAGATTGGCTTAGTGTTGTTTAATATTTTGTTCAGAACCTCCATATTTCTTACCATGCACCTAAAAGATAGAAGATGTCTCAATAAAATAATGGTGTACTTATTATCATAATGAATTTATTGCTTACATACACACATTAATAAGAGAGATAACGTACATTATAAAGGCAGCAAAGATTTTTTTCTCATATTTTTCATACAAGAGCTGCATGGCTGGGCTTTTTCCGGTGGAAGTACCTAGCACCAAACTTTCCAGTTTTACAAGCATCGGATTGATTGACTGGTAAGCCTTTAACATCGACGATACCAGTTCGGATCTTCGATTTTTTATTTCCATAAAGTAGGTCTACAAAGAGAAAAGAAATTTGATGTTGTAACCAACAAATATAATATTTGTAAACAGAAAAAATATCTATTACTTATAAATTACAATTATTTCTGATATTATAAGTCACATTATTTATTCTTGATAACCTATAACATCGACGATACCTTGATATTCATAAATATTAAAAATTTTATTTTCTTATTATTATTGTACAAATCGATATATTTATATTAAACATTTGACAAAAATTTAATCCAAAAAATATTTAATTTTCATTTTCAAGAAAGAATATAATTCTATTGATTTATATTAGAATATAATATACAAGAAAAAAATCGTTTAAGAAAAATAAAATTTTTTTATAGTAAACTATACTTTGCACGGCAAGAGAATCTCTGATTCAGCGACTTCTTTCTTCGTAGAGAACAGATGATATGATTCCAGCTCAGAATTGATTCGATTGTCAAGCTCTTTCTTTATCTGTTCGACTTGGTTGATGGTGGAATTCAAGTTCTTCAATATTCTATTACAGTCCGCCGCGTAATCCGAGATGGTCAAAGAGTTCCAATTAAATCGCGTCACGCCAGGCTGAATGTGCTTCTCGACATCCTGCAGAGTTTGCTTCAGTAACTGCACGTCCGCTTTGTCCAATGTTTCCAAGATATCATTGTATTGATTGATCATCTTCCCAATGGCGTCGAGGTCTGTTCTCAACCGATTCTTCTGAATGCCAACGTCTCTGACGGTCGCGGGCAACTCGAAGCCCAGCTGTTCCATCAATTCCGCCTCTCTGATCACTTCGAAGACTTCCCAGTCGAAGTTGACTTGAAACCGTAGCTGGCACTCCAGCAGAATGGCACCGCTCATGAACTCCTTCCAGGTAATCTTCGCACGGGTGTTGTGTCTGTCGGAGGACACAGTGGAGCTTTTGCCTGCTTCTTTCAACGACGATACTCTGGCGTCGATCTTCCCTTCCGGACGCGGCTGAATCATAGAGATAATTCTAGAGCTCGTGATACTTTCGATTTCTGCGCTAGGCTTCGATATTATAAGGCCGTCATGTCTCACTAGAGATTCATGTGGAGTCGACAAATTAGAACCCACGTTTTTATTCTTTGTCTTTGACATTACATGGACTGGTTGAAGATCCTTCGTGGCTGATTGGTCATCCGGGAAAGTCAGAGTAGCCGGAGGATCCCGTTCGATGCGCACCATCCTCAATATGCTCTTTTTCATGATAGTAGTTACTGTCAGTAAGGCCTTCTCAAGCCACGTATTAAACTTCGCTTCCTCGAACTCTTTCAATTGCTTCGCGAGATCAAAGTACTGGCTGAACGCGAGAAGCTTCAGCTCGTTGTGCTTCAGTACGCGTACTTCCTGAAAGATCAGCACCGACCTACGCAATTTGTGAAATAGCTGTCTCACCCAGAAGATTGCTCCCGCCATCGGCGGATGATACGTCAGCAATGGCGGATGCCGTTTGCCGCGGTGATATATGTTTTCCACGATGTTAATCTCTTTGCTAAACTGCTGCATAATCACGTCAAATTTGCGTAGCAGCAAACTTTGAATGGCGGCACGGGTCTTTATATTCTTAAACTTGAGCAACATCTCTAGCGCGGTCTCAGAGCTGATCAATACCGTGAAGCATTCGTCGATGTAGAACTTGGCTTGATCTTCCAGATATGTCACTTGTTCGTAGAACCACGCGGTCATGGCCTCCCAGTTCTCCTTGTTGAACACGTTGAAGATGTCGAAGTCAGCTTCCTCGATCGGCATCACCAAGGCGTCCACTCGCTTCACTACAGCATCGATCTGCGCCGGATCGTTTATGATAGATTTGAGATCGGGTCCAAAGATGTTGTAAAAATCTTGCAGTACGTCAGCAATTTTGTACAGGTCGCTGCACACCTCGGCGATGTACTCCGTGTCTTGGAAGAGACGTTTCTGATCGAATTCCCAACGAATTCCCTTTCCCGATATCTCGATATCCAGTCGAGTCTTCAAATACGATCGTTTCCACTGTCTCAGCATTGCGCTGCCTGCGCTCGACTTTTGTAGAATTTCTTCCAGAGGCTTCTTGAATAATAAAATGATAGCCAGATTACGCCTGACATTTTCGCAGAGTTGCCATGATATCCGGTCCATTAGCAGCATCATTTTCTCCTCGCGGCAGTAATAACTAGATAATATCCAGAGCATTCGCAACCCTTCCATCAACGAAGGTATGCACTCTGCTATAGATTCGAACGAATCCGACTCGGCAATCAACTGCGATTTTAATAAAAATATATACAGTCAATAAATATTATTAAAATATTTGCCTAAATTCTTTAAGAGTATATTCTCTTTTTGATCCATTTTTGGAATAAAATTTTAATTTACTTTTTTAATAAACATTCAATATTTGTCATTTGAATTTTCTGATATTGTTAAACTTGAAATTTTAAAATTCTATTATTTTTAAAATTAAACATAAAGTAAAAATTAATTGATAATCTTTATTTCTAAAACTCAATTAGCAAAAAAACTTTTTCTTTATATTTTTAATTTGAAAACTAGAAATGTCTGAATGTTTTTCAAAAAATTCCAAATTTGATCTAAAAGTATATCTTGTCAAGTCTTTTGTCTTGTCGACAAAATTTGTCCGAGAATTTTAATAACATTTTATTATTATAAATTAGAGTTTGCTCGTGATATTACCTTGAAATATCTCATGAGAGTTTGAATAAACTTATTGTTGTCCCTAGCTTCGATGTAATGCTTCCATAGTTCCGTTTGAAAATATTGAAAACTCGAGGCAATCGGCGAGCGTATTTGTTCGAGAAGAGCGAGGATTCTTTTAACGACGGGCATTTTCAACTGTTCAACCAACATCGTAAATCCGGTCTCACAATCTTGCCAGTATTGATACACTGCTATTGGTCCTTTCTCCGGAATCGCTTTGTTTATATATGATTTCATTACCTACGTGATAATAAAACAAAATACATTAATACCACAATGTTTGAAAATTGATTTAGAATCATTCACAGGTAAATAATTAGTTATTTTTAAATATATTGACAATAATAAATGTTTTTTTAACCTGTGTAGTTATTTTTAAATATATTTAATTATTTGGTCAACATTTCAGGGCATCGTATATTGAAAGTAATTCAAAATTGTAGAGAGATTACACGAAAAGTACGAGAAAAATAATAAAATACTCACCTTCTGTATATGTTTTTCCCACGACATAATTACTTCTTCCATTTGTTCGACAATATCCTTATTTTTCAGCAACATATCGTCTGTTATCGCAGGATCGTTGAGCTCTGGAATTTTTGGCATCGTCAGCAAGATATCGCCTTCGATATGCTCCAACGTCCTGCGTCGTCAAAATACAAAGTACAAAAGTTAGTAAAAGAAGAGGAAATTTGCTCTTGAAAATATATAATAGATGCAATTTTTGAATTAAAATAATACTAACCATTCCGCGCTCTCTATCATATCGTCGAGATAATGTAAAATATCTTCCTTGATTTTCTCGATCATTGGCTGTTTTCTCATTTCGCTCAAACTGACCGATCTGCTGGGCCGTGATACCGATATAGATAAATCGGATCTTTTGTTTCTCAAACTTGGTCTTAGCATTCTATCTCTTTCATCCTGTGAGATTGTTTCTTCATCGTTCCCCTTTCTTCTTGCAGGCAAGACTCGTTTGGATATTAATACGGATGGTGCCATAAAGGCGGATGGTCGTTTCAGCATCGGCATCTTCAGAAAAAATTAAAATATTGAAATTAATTCGCTATAAATAGTTTATGATTATTGATTTGAATTTTAATGAGATATGCTAGAAATAGACAACTGTATTTGTATAAACGAAATTTAAAATTGTATAGTGTAAATATAGTGTGTGTCTGTGTGTATTATAAGTTACTTTATATATATATATAGATTCTATATAATATAATTTTTTAAATAGATAATATTTTACATACTCAAGTTTTGATATTTGATAGCGCGATTTTTTAATACTCACCGCTTCGACGTCCACCTTTTTTCTTTTTCCATCATCAGCCTGCAATGGCTCGCAAGAATCCGGTCCTCTGAATTGATTCTCCACCAATGGCTTAAATACCTAATGTTTCATTTGTCACATATTATTGAATTGCATATATCAGCTTTATATCCTTTAATACATACATTAACATAAGACACACATATAACATAATAAATAAAAAATTTAGTTTGGAATTTAAGACCCAAAAATTGTTATGTTTTTATTAAAGCAAAAATAATTTTCAAGGTTTCGCAAATAATATATCGAGAAAATCTAAAATTTATCTTTAGAAAAGAGACAGATATTTAAATATGCAACACTACAATTTGATTTATGTGATACAATACGTATCGGAATATGGATTGTAAGGGATGAAAGAATCAATGGCATACAATCGACCGGTAAAAAGACCATTACTGAAATCAATTGCGATTAGATTAAACAATACTTACATTAACCAATATTTTATTCAAGGAAGCCAGGAATCTGCTATCGAGTGAGCCGACCATCACATAATTCGTGATCTCATTAAGGCACTCTTCGTAAGTATCGAAAGAAGGTATACCCTCATCACTGGAGCGCATGAAGTAGAAGAACGTGATGTCCTGCAGGTCAGTTCTATTGCCGTCTATCTGACCGCATATCATGTGAAGTGCCGGTATCTGACAAACTTTCTCCACCAATTTCTGCAATTGCCACAAATAACATCTTTTTCTTATAATCGATTTCACTCAACATCAATTTGCTTTTTTTAACCGTGGTTTGATTGATTGTTCATCTCTTTTTAGAACTAGGAAAAGACAAGAAAACTAAGATTAATTGATATTGATGAAATTAATTCAAGCTAAAATTAATCATCATTGAACGATTTTCTCTTTCTTGATGAAAATCTTATTTATTTTTTCATTTGTGGAATTAAATGAATTGACTAAGATATAAAATTATGCTAAAAAATTCATTATGAAATAATAGAATTAATTAAATGTTTTTCGATTAGAGAATTAATAAGACTTTATTTAATAAAGTCAACCTTAGTTAGAATATATTTATCTTCTTCTCCGGGCGGTGGTGCAAAAGCGGAACTATCTGAAAATATAAATTATTATTATTATTTTACTATCATTTTAAAGCAAATCTATATTTATAGACACAACATAGTTTACCAAAAACACTTTTCAAATCTTCTTTCTTTCTAGAATAAGTAGAAAGATCACCGCTACCATTCTGTTCAACTTCGTCTTCATCTTCTTCTTCTTCTTCCTCGGTAGATTCTGGTATACTAGGAGTATGTAAGGTACTGGTGCTCATTGCTATACGACTAGCAACCGAACTCACTTTACCAGTCATGGCTTTGCCTTTTTTAACTCTTTTGGTAAATTTCTTATCTTTTTTCTTCTTATCATCATCATATTTCTCTACTTTTCCTAATGTTGTTAAAAAATATTGTCAAACAAATGCTTTTTTCTCCGATTAAAACATTCATCAAAAACATCAAACAGTATATCAATTCTAATATTGTTTTTACCTTAAAATCTCTACAAAGGAAGGAAAAATGAAGAGAGATAGAAATTAATATAAGAAGTAAAAAAAAAAATAAAATATTACATGCTTGCTTTATGCATGTTGCAACAAGATATCGTTTATATATAAATGTAAAAATAATATGTGATTTTCAAGTGCAGAACTCAATCATTATCGAGTATAACAGAACAGAACTCTTTGTCGATTACTCTACTGCTACATATTTTGCATGATTAAATGTATGTACTAACTTATGAATACAATATTAAAAATTGTGCAGCTATGAGAAACATTATACGCACAATACAATTTTTAAGAGATGCTACGCAATGTTAAAGATCGCGAGATTTTACCAGGAGCACTTTTTGTTAATCTGTGCGTTCTGCTCTTCAAGGTAAATGCTGTCAATGCTGTTATTTTTGCACGCTGACCTAAAGTTACAATTGTCGTATATCGAAATTACATTATATGCTATCATAACATTTCTTATTAACTGCTAAATATAGTTACACTTTAAGAGGTGTTTCAGATTTAGGAGATTGATAACAAAATTTATGGTAAAAAAGATAGATCCGATAGACTTGACACATCCCTTTAAAATTCTAGCCTCCATATAAAAGCGCGTTTAGAGCTTACTTTCCTCCCACACTGGGACTTCCTCCTGAACTACTTCACTAACGTAAGTTTTGTAGAAGAAGATCAGTTTTTTCTCCAGATCCGTCACTCCGTACAAATCTAATATAAGAAAGTTAAGTAGCTTGTCCTCGAAGTACCGATTATTCGCCTAATAATCAAAAATAATTATATATAATCTTGACTAATCTTTAAATTATTTATTAAAAAAGATTAATTACATTAATAAAATCGTCAAAAAGATGTTCCCGATCTGTCAGCCCAAGAAACTTCAATACCCTATCGCGAATCCATCTTATTCTAATTAAATCAAATAACGTCATTTAATAAATTAAAAAGATAGTTTCAAATGATGTTGATGAAGAAAGAGATGTCAATATGTCACTATTAATTAGCATCTACCGATAATCCATGTGCGCGATGAACGGTTTATCCTGGTCATCTTTGTCGGTTGAACTTTTTTCTTCATCTTCTTTTCTTTCATCTTTTTTATAATCATCATTCTCCATATTATCAATGAATTCTAAAATTTCTATACTTTGCTAATATTATTTTCCCTCAAGCAATTAATTCATTTTTTTTTTAATAAAGTTTATAATGTAGAGAGAATAACCTTTTATGTTTCACTTCAAAATAATATATACAAGATCGTACTTCACACAATTTATTTCCTCTGTATCCTATATGCGTAATATTTCATTTTATTTCCTTAAAGTTTATCTTTTATAAGAAGATTAATACTATTTTATTTATGCAACCGATTAAAGATAGAGAAATCGTCACTGTAAATAATTATATTACAGAATGTGATACACATACACTCAGACTTGATTGAATCGCGTTTTCGAGAAATATCGGATAGTGAATAAGTTTGACGCCGTTGTCATGGTGAAACGCTTTCTCGGTGTAAAAGTAGGATATATAGGGTAAGCGAGCGTTTATTGATTACACAATGAAATTTAAAGATATATTTAAAAATAATACAATGTCGCATTTTCTGGATTAAATGAGATATACAAAAAATATTCATAACGCTACGTACGTCTCTTGCATACATATCAAATGCACACATTGTTACACATATACATATAATCCCTCTCCTCCATACATGAGCAAGTATAAAACATTATTAACATTTATCGAAGCCTATTGTATCGCGATTAAGTCAGTAATAAAATCCATTTTACAACTTCTGTAATATCTTAACTATATGTTACCATTAAAAAATATATATTTGAGCGTGAAAAAAATAGTTACACGCTATAGGGGTCATTATACCATTATTCTTTTATCATATTACCATCAAATAAATCTAATCTTGTGGTTAATACGCACTATATAAATTAATATGACTTTAAATGTGTGCATATTTACTAATTATTTACTTTAATCATTTATTTATTTTTGACCCGTTATTTAAATGTGATATTAAATCAAGCTTATTCCTACTTTATATACCGATTATCAATATTAAAAAATATGTCGTTATGTCATTCTTTAAATAATACAGACATAAACAGCTGAGTTCATTTTCTCTCATATTCAATTAATTTTAATCTTTAATTATTTCTTCTAATTGTAATTTTATAAAAGATAAAGAACTCTAATTATATTATAATTAATTAACAATGATAAAACCGATCCGCCAAGAAAGATAATTATTTCTAATCTTTCACATTCTTTTCAAATATCTTTTAAGTGTCTTTCGAGTTCTCATGCTGTTCGGGGCTCAAAGTTTCATTTTTCGGGGCTCTGTTCGTTAATTGCGAGCTGCTAGATTCTTTCTTGCCGCCTTCATCGGTATGTTCGTCGATTAATCCTCCAAGAATTGCCTGAACATACTCCTCACGGCCTTCGTTGGTATCAAAAGAGAAACCAAGAGAAGGAACAAATTCGGTTTCGACGATGGTCTTCACAGATTCCGTTGTCATTGTCGTAGTCGATTCCTGCATCATCGTCGTCGATGTTCCCGTTGTAGAGGACGCTAAACTTATCTTTTCAGCATCGCTGATTACATGTTTGCTCTCTTCTATAGGCAAACCAGTCTCAAAGTCTAAACTCCTCTGTACTTGTGGCAAATCGAAGACGAGTGGTCCACGGATCGAATTATCACGATATAGAGGCTGCCCAAAGTTTTCCGTCAATTGTTCCAAGATTTCCTGCTTCTGAAGCGGTCGAGTTTTGTTTTCTGCTTTCGATTGACTCGTCTTCTGTTTTGTTGCATTATTATTAGAATTTATTCTAGAGGAAACATCAGGAAGCGGCTTGATAGGAATATTAATAGGTGCCCTCAAAGTGTCTTCAAGAAAAGATATTTTGGAATCTGCATTTTTTCCGATTGGTAATCTGGGTTCCAACAGTGAACTAGTCGTAACGAGTGATGGTTCATTGAAATTCAGTTTGGCAATATCGACGGGTGTTTTTAACGTATCGAAGGCAGACACTTTGGGCTTTGCGTTCTTAAACGACGTTCTGGCTTGCGAACGAATCAATAGCGGACTCGTCGTAGCATCTGATTGTTCATCGAGATCTAGATTAAACGAATTCCTCAGCTCGGCGCTACGTAGATCTTTCGCCGAGAATGGCCGCGGCAATCGATCCAGTTTTAACAATTCAGCCATCAACTGGAGAAGATTGAGCATACTCACATTTGAATTTGATTGCTTGAATTGACCGATTGTATCATCGACAACAACGGGAAAACTGTTATCTTTATTGTTCAGAGACGCGTGACTAGTATCGTGAAACTTCGAAATGTCAGCGACCTCGTCCTTCGATTCGATCGACCTGATAATCTCGAAGTCATCTAGTTCGTCTTTTGGAACAGAAGCCGATTGTTGGTGCTGTCCAATCAATCGACTGATAAAATCGTCAGGGGTTGTTTCCAAGTCTTCGTCTCTCTTGACTGTGAAGGATATCTCGTACGGAGAATTGTGTTTATCAATCGTCTCCTCGATCTGCTTCAAAGATTCTGGATGGATCGAGCGCGATAGACTACTCTCTGTCGCGTTCTTCTTTGTTTTCTCTTCAGAAACGTTGATCTCTAGTACACTTTTCGGTATAACCGTCTTCAAGTTTGATCTCTCTACATCGACATTACTACTGATAGTGATCGGAGATTGCGTAGTAGAAGTCAAAGATTCATCCAATATAAATGTTGCCGAATTTCCTTGTATGCTCGTACTACTTGAAGAGATCAAACGTTCTGGAATCCTCGGGGTTGCTTTTGTGCCGATCGAGATTGTTCTCGCTTCTACACTCGGCGTGGAGATAGCAACTTTTGGAGCAATAACTGCAGAGTTTGTCTCGCAATGTTTCCCTTGTTCATCGGATGTTGAAGAGTAGCATGGCAATCTGGAATTTGCTCTTGAATCCAGTTGAGCCTTGACAGCGTCCCTAATAGTAAACTGAAATCCTGTATTATACTGTATTAAGGTCTCTATCTCGCTGTTATTATTCTTCGGGGTCGTTGAGAAGTTCTGCATCTTTTGCGAATCTATGTTTTCTGTGCGATCAGAATGTATTGCGTACGCGTGTTCGTTCGGCGGAACGAAATCACCAAAACCGTCGTTGTAATCAACTATCGGCGGAACGATGTTAGTCACGGGAACGTCAACGATCGCTCGATCGTGTGATGGAACGAGCCACGGAATGGACGTGGGCACTTCAGCGACAGGTTGAACAGTTAAATGAATCCCTAAATTAGTCGTCTGCGACAAATCGTCTGTGTAATCAACCAGCGACTGCTCCTCAACATTGAATATCGGCGATCGATTTTGATTGATCACAATTGGTGTGTCAGAAAATCTCGGAATCTCGGTGTTCGTTGATCCAGGATTCCAAGAAGTTTTGGAACTTTCGTCGATGGTTGTATAATGCGTCTCTTCGGGAACGTTGATAAAGAAGCTTGCCGCTGGAGGTCTCAAAAATCGCGCTGGTTGAGGAATCTCGAAACTGAAATTTAATCTAGATATGGAATTGTCATTGGAATTGGAAATTGATCTAGTCGACGACGTGTTTTGGTCGACGGTTATATAGCTGTCATTAGATGAAGAACGAACGATATCACTGTGAATGTCAACAACGCTTTTTCTAGTGGTACTTATCGTAGGTTTTGCAGTTGCCGAAATGGTTGATGCTTGCGCAACATCAACATTTTGTTGCCAATTTCTCAGCAACGGAGTCGTTTTGTCGCCGAAGCTTCTTGTGTACGTCGTCTCCTCGAAACTCTTCGTTGTCAAACTCGTGATATCTTCCTCTGTCGATTGATCATATTTCGTCTCATTGAAAATATCCGACTTTTTCGGAGTCTGCGACAAGTTCACATCTTCTTCTTTCTCGTACAATCCCAAAAAATGATTTGGAATTGATTGCGGTAGAATAGAAGTTAACCGAATACCTCTATTTCTTCGTGATAAGTGCTATTATCTTTGGCTAACTCGTGTTATTAATTGTAGATTGATGCCAACATTATTTTAAAATAAACCGTGTCCACGTGTACACAATATTTCTTTTTTGAGAGAAGTTCAAAATTTTCGGACCAAAAAAGATCGATATCGGGACAACAATCGAGTCGTTATAGACTTTTTCTATACGGAGCATCTGCTTCGGTAAATGCAGCATTGCATTCTGTACATATTAGAGAGTATATCGCATTAGTTTTGATCATCACTTTGTGCCGGAATATACAGCCGTCGTGTTTGTTATTTTCCTCATGTTGGGGCAATCTGGGGTACCTACACACCTCATGTAATGAAAAGAGGAAAATCTGTTATCCTGACTTTGTCTCTCTACAAAAAGTAGTTGGAAACGCAAACTACCACCCAAAAAAAGAAACCACTAAAAAAAATCTATTTGAGACCCCTAAAGTTAAAAAATTAAATAAGAAAGTCCTGCAGCAATGTAGAACAAAAGGATATCTTTATTTGTGATTTTTGTCAATAGAATACATCTTTGTATTATATTTTGATTAAAATAAATCTAGATTTTGTAATTGCACAGTGTTTTACACGTTTTCAAATGGGTATCCGGTTTTACCCTACCGGAGCAAAACCAGGTATTTTGCCTTCTCCAAAAAATCTTGTTATCCTTGGTAACCAAATTTTTTTTTCAACAACTAGCCTCATTTTCTCATAATTTACGATCCACTAAAGACTACTAACGGTCAACAAAATTTTTTTTACTCTCTGATTTTTTATAGGAAGACAAATCCAAAAAAGTACCCGGCTTTACCCTACTATTCCCTACATTGTTAACATAAAATAACCATTGTAGAAGAAAGTAACTTTTGTTTTAATGTAACCATATTATAATCAATTAAGAACAATTAAAAAACAAAAATGAAGGAATTTTTCCAATTACAGACATCAAAATAAAAAGACATTTAAAATATGTCTTTTTAATTTTGGAAATAATTTAGGAGTGGTAAAACTATGGTAATTAGACAATGTGATAAAATAAAGAAATAAATATTTATAAAGATTAGACATTTTTTATGTATTTGCCGTTAAGATATATCAAATATATAAATTTCGTAGCACTTATGTAATGATTTTACATAGCCTCATCAGTGTGCAATATTGTCTTTATGACTTCATCTTTCTCTCAGATTATCTAATGTCTGTGGTTAGTATAGTCAGAATATTGAGTTAGAACAACACAACAATAGCGTGGAAAATTAAATCGAATTAAATACTCGCTGTGTGTAATTAACGACAATGATAATAACAGTAACAATAATAATTTTTTGGAGCATCTGCTTGATTCATTATCGCATTCCTTATTAGCAATTAATGAAATTTTTCCCGTCTCACTATATCTTATTACCGTTTACGTAGCGAATCTAATCGCTTCCTCACGCAAGATAATCGTTCTGTCGACGTTTTGTATCCGTAATTAAAAATATTTAATAAAATTTTTTGAATTTAAACTATTGAATCAATAAAAAGATCTTTTCAAAATTTCGAGAAACAGTAACAATAATAATTTTTTGGAGCATCTGCTTGATTCATTGAGAAATCGGTAAAAGCAGAATTAATTCTGAGTAATTCTTACATTAAAAAACGAAATCAAATTATATAATTATCGGACAAGACAAAATTACATTAATTTTATTTTATAAAATCTCAATTTTTTAATATA